TTCTGACCTGCTGTTAGATCCTAAATCATCCTGTTTTCGTGTTATACTAAGAAGAAATAAATCAACTCTGACCCTAAACAGCTGGAAGCAACAAACTAAACTTCAGCTCCTGCTGCTCGAAAACGTCAGTCACATTCATAAATTGTAATTCCTGTTAATCTGATCAGTCTTCACAGCAGCTCGGTTTGATTTTTTTATGGACATTTCAGTTTGTAGTGGATTAAACTGTCGAGCAACGCGAATGAGAAACTGTCTTTTGCTCTCTGTGATGTTTTTGGATTAATACTAGTTGTGAAATGTGAAGAAAACTCCTCCAAACTGGCTTGAACGACACTTTCAGATTAATAGAAAGGAATGCAGGTCTGAAACCGGACTATTGGAGATTTTCTGCTAGCCTACGTTAGCCCACATTAGCATAGCCAGACCGCGCAGCTGGTTGTCTTTGGTAGCAGCGATAATAAGAGCCTGAAACCAGAGAGAAAGCTCTTCCTAAAAGGCCTCTCTGTGTTCAGTTCTCAGTGATTTGCTTTAATTTAAATCCTTTGTCCCCATTTATGGATTCAGATATCAGCATTATGCTCCTATAAGCTCAATTCCTTCCCCCTGGTGCTGTTTCATACCAACAGCGTGATGCTTTTGTAGGGAAGAAGCCTCATTAGCAGCTCTCCTTACAGTCACCGTGGCTCAGCGTCCTACGTTGGACAACAGACCTCCTTGAGCTGAAGAACTCACCTTGATGCAGAAGGTGAAGTCTGCCGGAGCTCCGTACAGCTTACGGCTGTTCACCACCGTGTAGACGTTCAGGTCGTCCAGATCGGCCACGTACTGCAGGTGACGAGGCTCCTGGGTTCCAAAAACAAGCAGGTTTAAGTTAAAATCCTTTCTTCAATGAGTTTTATAAAAGCAGAAGCTGTGAAGTCGATGACGTCAGACTGTCTGACCTTGGACGAGCCCTTGGTGGAGCTGTAGAGTCCGGAGCGTCGCAGGAAGAAGTAGACCTTCTTCCAGGCTTTACGACTCGATTCTTTGACGTGGAGGAAGCCCTGGATCTCTGGACACGTCCCGGACCGCAGCAGGTTCTGACGAGGAAACACGGGAAGGCTGTTAATTGGACACGTGCTACATCTTGCAAATAAAACCTGACTGAGAAGAATGAACCTGAAGCAGCAGATCTGCCGTCGGTTTCCGTTCATGCGCTAAAGTTCATAAATCAGAGGTTCTACCTGGATGAGCTCCGACGACGTCATCCCCTTGCTGACGTCAGCGCTGTCGGAGATCATGTTCTCTGGGAAGAAGAGCTGCGAGAGGAAGGAGATCGGCGTCATTAGTCTCATCTACAAGACAAAGAAGCTGCTTCATCGTCCCCGTTTCAAACCAAACACACACCGGAATAAAACACACAGAAATTCTCCTTCATTTGAGATTATTTAAAGGTGGAAAGACAAACAGACAGAGAACAAAGTCAGTGTTCAGTCAGAGTGAAGCGTGAGTCAGAAACCTCAACAGATGTCAGACTTGAACCCTGAGGGGGAACAGATGCTGCCGTCTTTGTTTGTGAACACAGTCAGAGTTTCTGCAGGTTCTCACATTCAAGACTTCTAAAGAACACATCGTCTGGTTTAATGACGGTTTCACCATCACGCTGTCAGACATAGAAATACAGCAGAACTATAAGCTGCTGCGTCACGTTCTTACATGTATAACAATCAAACCTAATGATCTAATTAGTGCAGCCCTGTTTTTATTTTCAGTAAAATAACAGTAAGACATTTCAGAACTACATAATTTGTCTCTCAAATAACATAATAATCTTTATTTTTTTCTGATTTAAATACAGTAAAATAATTTTAATATATAGATTTGGCTTATTTTTTACGGTAAACCAGTAATTTCAAAAATTAATGATTTAATAGAATTTTACTATTTATCTGTAATTTGACAAAAGAAGAAAATCTCTAAAATTTAAAAAAAAACAAAAACAAAAACAAATTTTCAATCCTAATATACCTAATTTTACTTTTACACAACTGCAATTGTCTTTAAATAACAATTTTAAAAACATATATTAATTAATAAACTTTTCTGATTTAAATACAGTAAAAAAAATAAATAATTACAGATGTTAACGAGTAAAATCATTGGAAAAAAAATAAAGAGAAAATCTGTAAAATATTTTTTTCTTTTAAATAATAACACATATCTTTAAAATATTTTGTTGCTGATTTAAATCGAGTAAATTAAGTGTAATTTTGTGGCCTGTTTGTTTTCCTTTTTTTTTTTTACAGATTAACCAGTAATTTATTTCTTTTATTATTTCTTTTAAACTGTGATTTTACTACTTAGACGTAATTTGACAAAGCGGATGAAATTTTTTTTTGTAAGATATATATTTTTTAACTTAATACAGACAATTTTATTTTTATATAACTGCAATTATCTTTGATAATAATAACAATAAAAACAATAACAATAATAAAAAATAGTTTTTCTGATTTAAATACAGTAAAATAAAGAGTGTAATTTTGTCATATTACCATTTATGAATATACAGAATTTTGATGTAGACATTTTTGGCCCATTTTAACAGTTACCTCATAAATTAGCATTATGTTTTTCCAGTGATTTTACGAGTGAATATCTGTAATTTAACAAAACAGAAAAAAATCTGACAAACAACAGTAAAAAGTTTTTTAAAATGACAGACAAAAAGTATTAAAAAGGTCAGTTTTGGACGGTGCAGGTTCCCTCCGGAGCCTCGTGGGGGCAGCGTGGACACACTTTACTTCACCCGACAGTGGGAGGTTCATCAAAACCAGTTTTCAGAGCGAACCGTCGCCTCAGTTTAACAACGGAACAGAGTCGCTGTTATAAAATATCTGCAGCGTGAAGTCAGAGCGTCTGCAGCGACACGCAACCTGACAATCATCCACAACACAAACGACCATGACGTCAGGCTTTCATAACGTCTGCAGCTCCAACGTGACCTTTAATCACACAGAAGGAGGGATGCGTGCGTTTGAAATCTGTTGGCGCTTCAACAAACCGCAGCGTCGTACCATCGGCTTCCTGAAGAACTCGTACTTGGCGTAGTTTTTGCAGAACATGAGCCTCGTGTCGCCTTTCAGAGACCAGGTGGCCTGAACCTCCAGCACAACCTCGTGGTCCTCCAGGCATCTCTCTGAGGAGGCAGGACGTAGCCGCGTGAGGTTTGAACGTTTTATTGTTTGTGCCCCTTTTAAGCGGGAGTGCGGTGCAGTTTTACCTAAACCCAGCGAGGGATGCAGCTCCAGCAGAGCCCAGTTCTCCTGGTCGCTGCAGTGAGCCGTCTGGACCAACAGCTGACAAACTTCTCTGGCTGTAGCTCCACGAGAAACCCAGACCGAGCGGCTGTGGCTGTCCTCTCCGAACACCTTGACCAGCTGGAAACACATCATTTAATTTAGTACAAACAGCAGCATTTTAAAAACAACTTATGACTGTAATATGATGGACAGATTAAACAATATTAAAGCGCTGCAACGTTATTGTCTCGGTAGTTTGTGCAACATCAGCTTCTTAACATTCGAATATTTCACGTGCATCTCATATATTTAGAATATGACGGAAAAAGTTCAGTATTTTTCATCAGACATTGCTCATTGCTGCAGTAATTCGAGCACAGACAATCCCGACCATGTATTCACACAGCATATATGAGCATACTTACACGAGTTTGGACATTTCTGCAGTCCAAATCCTGTTTTTGACATATTATAATATTTGGAGACTGATTTCTGTGGGGCGGTTTAAAACATACAAAGGCTCAAAATATAATTCAGTTTCTGTGTAATGAGTCTAGAATAGATTCGAGGCCTTTACTGGTCACAAATGCAGAATAACACGCAGTGAAATGTGTTGAGCACCTGTTCCACACCGAAACAATAATAATAATAAGAAGAAGAAGAAGAAGAAGAAAGAATAAAACTAAATGGATGGATAGAAATAAGCAAAATAAATAAATCAAAGTGTAAAAACAGTGCAAAAAAATATGTGTACATACAAGGCGAAAGGTAAAGTAAGTAGAATATATATAATTGTCCATGTTTAATGAACTTTTTTCACCATATTCCAATTACATGAGATGCGCCTGTGCTTCATGATCATGTGTAATATTTTACTACTCAGAATTACTAACAGTATCACGTCTTTCTTTTCTGTTCTGGTCTCATTTACTCACTTATTTTTATCTGTAGTCATGTATCGTACTTTAATCTTATTGCTTCATTCTCATCTGTTGTTTTCTGCTCGTCCGTCTCTACAGAACTACAGATGCTGTAAACGATTGGAGTCAAATGTTAAACAGATATATAGATTTTTTTTTGTTTGTTGTGTTCAGATTAGATTTAGTCGAGCAGAAAATGTTCTAAAAAATTGCAAGATTTGAGATTAAACGACCCAAATGCTAATATTTCCTTCCTTCTCTCTCTGACAGTAAATTTAAATCATTTGCTAAAGGGAATAAAATACTATAACGTCTTAAAACAAAGCAAAACATGACAACAAGCTGAACAATCAAAGTTCAAGGAATAAAACAAATAGAAAAGAATAAAAAATAAGATCATTAACGACCAAAACATATTAAAAACAAGTACGTCTTCTTGGAAATGTCAATAAAGGAGGAACTTCATTGATCTTTATTAGTCCGAGTTGGGACCATTTTGAACATCTGGTCAAGAAGGAGCTCATCTGAACTGCTTCATATGTTGTTTAATCTACAGAGATGCATCATATTTTACAGAATAATGCATTTATCGTATACATGGTGGGATCGGAAAGTTCCAGCAGAGAGCATGTGATGCCGCTCCATCAACAACCGGCGTTAGAAATGTTTTCGTGACCATATTTGCATGTTTTTTGTGTTGCAGGAGCGCTGGGAGCAGAGTGTCGCTGCACAAAGACGTCGCTTCAACGGTAACGGCAGCCAAATTCAGGTCGGGTGCAGTTTGTGATCGCTGTAAGTCTCAGAGGTCACAACTTGTTTGTTTATTCTTTTATCCAATCTGGAAATAACCAAATTCAATCCAGCTTTACAAACATAACGCAGCAAAAACCTTTAAAACCCTCTGAAATGTGCTGAATTTAAAGTATAGATCTCAAAGATTCCAACAACTTTCACACATATTTGACTCGAGTGTCCTAAAAAAAACGCACTCAGTCTTTGATAAACACCGTTTTTTTCCTGAACACACGACATCCACTCCAGAGCTGATCTTGGCTTTGCGTCAACCTCATTTCACCGAAGCCAAGAAGCTGTCAAACAGTCATTTAATAGTATTTAATAGGCCCTGACACCTTCAGAGAGGGTTCTTCAAGTTCGTACTAATTTTAGCCCGACAACAGGGGCAGGTCTTGTTTACTCTTAATCCTGTTTGTGTCTCAGCTTTGTCTCTTCGGGTGAATCTCGGTGTTTACAACTCAGGTTTCGCAGCTAATCCTGAAACAACACGCAGCTCGTTTCCGTCCTCCCGCCCCTCCGGATCCTTCAGATTAAACCAAACCGGCCGTGCACGTCTCTGATGCAGCCGAGGTGAACCGGCGCAGGTCATGCGACGGTCAGGACGGTTTCTAACGCGACAGAGCCGTCGACGTCTGGATGCTGCAACACGCTTCAAAACACAACAAACCAGCCGGACCAGAACGCTGCAGCCGTCAGTCAGGGAGTCCCGACCGGTCCGACGAGTGTCTGCGTCAGCCAGCATGAATAACAGCGACGCATCCAGCAGGAAGGATTAGAAAAGATCATTTCTGTCAGGAAAAAGGTCTCAGTTCAATATCCGGTCAGCCCACTTTGAGTTATTTCTCTTTCTGTACTCAGCAAGGTGGGAAAGCACACATGAGAGCAGATATCTAGACGCTCCGACACACTTCTCTGCATATAACCTAAAAACTGAGATGCTGATTTCATGAAGAAGAAAGTCGTATTTTATCTGCCAATCCAAATCAAACCCGGTTTCACTGGTGACCTACAAACACTTCAACAGTCATGTATCTGTCATGGGATTTAAATGCTAATGTGAAGATAAACTTTTGAAAAGTCGCAAAATAAAAATAAAAAAGCAAATTAGTCGAGCTTCCATTAACTGCTTTGGGACTCTGGGAACAGACTGTGTAGTGTCGTCAGAAGGTGGCGCTATAGGGCACGTTACACATGACTGTAATAGACAATAACAAACCAGGCTGCTTGCTAGGAAAAAAATAGATTAATAAAAGAGGAAGAAGAAACTAGAAAAAACTTCTACAAGAGAAAAACAGAAAAATCGGGAGAAAAACAGCGACGCATCGAGGAAAGAGGGATTTAAAGATCATTTCTGTCCGTCCACTTTGGTTTATTTCTCTTTCTCTACTCTGGAAATAAAGCTGGCAAGGCTGGAAAACACATATTAGAGCAGATATTTTGAAGCTTTCAAACCTCAGACACACTTCTCTGCATAAGTCATATTTTATCTGCTAATCCAGAATAATCTGGTTCCACCGGTGACCTACAAACACCTGAACACACACAAACACACTCAGTCGCACAATTATCAAGTGTATTTCAAATCAACTTTTGAAAAGTGGCAGAACAAAAAAGAAAATGCAAATTAGCATGACCTAATTTGGATTGAATAATCTGCGTTGTGTCGTCAGAAGGTGGCGCTGTAGGCTACGTTGCACAAGCCTGTAATAAACAGTGACAGTTGTTGGCTGAAAAACGTCCATAAAATCACAAAATCTTGATAAATGAAGGAAAGTCTTGTTCACAATCAAGCTCGTTGTAGTTCATGCTTCCTGCCAGCTGCTATCGGATGTTTTTAACGCCATCTAGAGGCGACGACAAAAAAACCAGCATCAGTCGTGTGACTGTAACGTTTGTTAAATCAGAAATTATTCAAAAAAGGTGTCTCCAATACCGATGAAGAGCAAGAAGTCTTTATCGAAGAAGCAATCGTAGAAACATTCACCAGAGCATCACGGGAAAGAACGATTCCCAGCTCACCACAGTGATGAACTACATTTCCAAACGCATCTTTACATCGACACATATTCCACCTCCTGATCCAGAATAATGTGGCGTCGGCAGGATAATCTGGTAATTTCAGATGTTCCTCTTTCAGCAAAGGCTCTTCCAGAAAGATCCTGAAGGTGTTCCCAGGCCAGATGAGATACCTAAACCCTTCAGAGTTCTGGATATACCACAGGGTCTCCTCCTCATGGTGCACAAAACCTCCAAAGGAAGTCCAGGAGGCACCAAAGCAGGTCTTTTAAACGTGAAGCAGCAGCGACAACTACGAGCTTCGAACAGATCTCTAATGCCACGCTCAGACTGGTTTTGCAGATCTCGAGAAACGTTAAATATTCTCTAAACCCCAGACATGCAAACACTACGAGACCAGAACATAACACAGCCGGACAAACTGGAGAACGTTGTGAGGATTCTTGTTCTGGAGGCGGCGTAGCACCGTACGTGGTCTCACTGGAAACAGATGGAAACAGAATGGAGGCTGTGGTGCAACAAGTTGTGCAGCGAGGAACAAACAGAAGCAGAAGACTGAACAACGAGTCTACGTGACAAAATGCAATTAACTCCCAGTTTTAGCATCTGTAGCTAATGTTAGCCTCAAGTGCTAGAATGTTAAGTAGCACTTGGCAACACCGTTTGCTGCTCCAGGCGGTGCTAATAATCCGCATGTAAGCATCAAACCTGTCACAGGAGATTATCGAGGCAGCCCTGATGAGTCTGAGAGCGTTCAGGAGGTTGAAACCAGATCTGCAAAGGCCCGAATATGACCCAATAATCTGTCCTGAACATTGGTTTAAGGTCGAGTTCAGACACTTCACAGAGGAAGCTCGATTCGGCTGCTTGTAGCCACAATTTCAACCTTTCACTCGTCTTATTTTCAAAACTATTCACCCTGATCTGCTGCTTTAACACCTTTCACTCGTCTTGTTTCAGGTTTTCTTCAAAATGCTGCTGCAGAGATTGATCCCATTCAGACAGGAAACGCACCGATACAAACGGTCGACAACCTGTTTTAAATATCAGAAAAAAACCTGCAATGAGATCAACATAAACACACACAACTCTGTTGTTTCACATGAGATTTCCACATTGTTTATTTCCGTCTCGCCGCTTTGAAGTGAAGATGACTCTGATGACAGCTGGCGGGAATCAGAAGGGAGACGTTTTTATTTTTGGTTCTTCCCACTCAGGTTGATTTTCTGCGAGTTGTTATTTCAGTCGACGCGGTTCAGATAAGAGTCACCTTCACTTGTAGCTGAGCTGAACCTAAATAAAGTGTTTTAGAGGGAATCTGGTTGGAAAATCAACTGAACTGTGCCTCTGATTCACTGATTTGTTCATGTAAAAATGAAAACTGTTGTATCTTAGTGCAAAGATTCTGTCTGTCTAACTGTATTTACGATACAGATCACTCAAAACCAGCATGAATCTCACTTTCTGCTATTTTAAAAGTCATCTCCACGACTTAGCAGCCAGCAAGGACGCAAAATGTTGAAAGAAACACCTGCAGAGGCAACTCAGGGAGGAGAAAAACACCGGTACGTTGTTTGTCCAGGCAGTACTTTTTAAAAAAAATTAATTACACAACCCACGAGGCGACCGCGGCACGCCGACACGCTGATATAATTGCAGACATGTTTACTCTGGCAGCGTTTGTGATTGAAAATAAGGCGGCGCAGGCATGGCAACGCTGCCAGTCACCAACACCTGCTCTGTTGGCAAAACAAGTCAAGACAGTTTACAGCGTCGACCTGCAGATCTGAGCAGGTGTGAAGAGATCCGCTGCAGACGCTCCCGAGTGTCCAAGTAAAATCTGAATAAGAGCACAAAGTCTGCTGCTGCTCTTTATTTCTATTACTGACAACAAATGCAATGAAAAGGCCAACGGTCTGACGCTTGTGCGCCGTCTCTGGCCGATCTGTAGCAAACAGGAGGAAATAGTTTGAAAAGGCATGTTTTCCTTAATGGATGTCGGGAATGACCTGCTCTACGACCCGACTCCGGATAAGCGGAAGAAAATGAATGGATGGATGTTTTCCTTAAAGAAAATGGACCTTTTATCAGAGCTAGAAAAGGTTAAAAACAGAAAAAAACCAAATATCTTCAACTTTCCGATGGTCGTGCAGTTGCATCAGAAAAAAAAAAAAAACTACAAATAAATTAAAAATTGTGATATTTTGTGTCTCATTCAAAAAAAACCTACACAGACAAATCATTTGCACAAGATCCTGTGAAAAACAAACAATGAGTTGCTTCTTGGTGCCACCGAGCCGCCGTGACAGACTCACTTGTGGGAGTTTTGGGCTGAACTGCAGGCGGTGTTCACACAAAGCAGAGACAAGTATGCAAACATAATAAAGAAGTCAAATATCTAACACATGTGGATGCTAGTTGTTTTTTCCAGGACCAGTAGCATCAGTTAGAAAACAATAAAATACGTTGATTCCAGGCTTCTTCCATTTTTGTAAAATAAATTCAACTTCTCTTCTTTTTTTCTTTTCCATTTCTTCATGCCATTATAACGGTTTTATTGCACTTTATTTACTTCTATTCATGGTTGTGCTGTTTCTACAGAGGTGCAGGACTGCATATTGCATTAACACAGAAAGGAAAATAAATTTGATGGATAAATAAATGCAGAATGGTTCAAAACAGTGAACAGAGGAGCAAGCTGTGACAACATGTCCAACAGTTTTCCACGTGTCCACAGATGACTCCGTTTTTACCCCTCAAATTTTTGTTAACCAATTATTCAAGAAATTCAACTTTTGCTTCTAATTTTCTTACAATGTGCAGAATTCTAGCTGTGTCGCACTGACCCAAGGACATTCTGAGTTCTCTCTTCTTCTAGTCGGGGTTGTTCTGGTTCCACAGAGCTGCAGGACTTCATTGTGCAGCGAAAACTTTGACAAAGAAAGTCCAGAAAATGCTTCAAGTTCAGAGGGTTAGCTAGGATCTGGTTTGATCAATAAGACAAATGGAATATTTTTAGTCTCTTGCTTTAAACCTTGGAGCTTCTGTCGCCCCCTTCTGGCAGTGGGTGTACTTACACCAACAATGTCAACCCATGCTGTAATTCTTCCTCACCAAGTAAGTTTCTTTTGCATCTTCAGCGCCACAACCGTTTGATACCTTAGATTTAAGTCTTTTGAATCAATAAACTCCACCATGCTTCCATCTGCTGCGACCGAATCCATATCCGATGCTTCGACTACCGCTACCGGTGCAACAGTACAGGATTTGGCCACAAAACCGAGTCTGAAAACTGTAAAACACCTGCAAAAAACCTTAATCTGCACAGTGAGAACTCACTGGGTTTGAATGCAACAGATGGTAAATGATATGTCAGAGCGCTGCACTCGAGCTGTAACTTTAAAATTAGGCTTGAATTCATCTTTCAGAGAGAATCTAGTGAAAAAACACCATCACAGTGTCTCTGATCATTTTCATGTCAAAGGGAAACGAAGACGGCGAATAAAAGAAGCCGCTTTGCTTTACAGAAAACAACAACAACAACATATTCAAAGCAAAGCTCACAGCTCCGAGGAACACAGTAACTAGACACTTGAGAGCTGGTGTCTGTCCAAAGTGCAGCCTGCATAAACACTCGGAGATAAAGCGGAGTTGTAAAGCGGCGGCTCGCTAACAGGACTCACGTGTTTGTCGGTCGACTGCGGCGGCAGCGAACTAATGAGCACCGGAGACTTGGAAGGGCTGCACAGCTCCGGAAAGGGGTTTGGGATGGCGGGAACGGAGGAGGACAGCGACGTGACGCCTTTCGACCTGGAAAAAAAATACCGTTAAATGAAGAACAAAGCCACAAACACACGATATACCATCAAAAGACAAGTCTGGTATGAGCCCAGTTTTCTTACTGTCAAGAAAACATCAATAATTTTATTCTAATAATGTGTGTTCTTGATATTGAAGGAATCACAAACTGTGGTTGACTTTGAGCATCCAGCCTCCACAAATACTCACAACAGCATCAAATGTGTGAAAACACTCCATCAAACGCGCGACTTACTGCAGTTTGAGTAACGTTTGCTAAAAAACTCACAAAACAGAACAACACATTTTGATGATTCCCTTCTTTTGTGACATATTACGGCCTTGCAAAGTTTATTAAAATGGGCGACACGAAAGCGCCACTGAAGTAAAGCGAAAACATGTCAGTCGCCCCCTAGTGGCTGGTTGTGATACTGGTCAGAAGTAGAGTTTATCCAAGTTAGTTAAAGCAGCATTCATCTACTTCAGTTTTTCTCTGTATTCTATATATATATATACAAAATGTTGACAGCTCGGGAGCTCTGGTTTGGTCTCCACCAACTCATGAGAAGAATAAAATCTGGTTCTTTAGCTGCTGAATGCTGCAATACATTTACCAGCTAGTCGGTAGAAACTGTGTGGATGGTACTGTGACTTTTTAGCTGCTCATTATTCCAGAAACACATTTCCATCTCTCATAAAGCACTTTAACACTTTCAAAACAACTCCATCACCTCAAGTGAACATAGAAAGTCAATCATTGAGTCAAAATCTCAATGTTTTCTTTAACTTTTTAGTTCATCAGTCGTACTTTTCAAGTTTCAAAAAACACCTCAAGTGGGCACAAAAACTTTTCTTTTTTCTTTCTTTTTTTTGCATAACTGGGGCAGTTCTTGGCAAAGCTTCTCCTGCATCTTTCACCTTTTCAGTTTATTTTTCTTGTCATTGTTCAAGAAACGTTTCCCATGAAGGCGATTAACTCTTTCTCCAAAAACCACCTTACATGAGCAGAGAAACTATTCTTTAGTAAATTTGGGGCAGTTTTGCTGAAGTTTTGCTGTTTTCTTCATGCTTTCGGTTGATCAGTCTTAGTATTCAATAAAGGCTTCTAAAGCCGCTCATTAACTCTTTCAGAAAATTCAGAAACCACTTCCAGTGACCACAGACACTTTTCTTTTTGCAAAATTCTGGACTTTTCCCCCCCCAAAATCTTGCTGTTTCCATTAACGTTTTGGTTGATCAGTCTCATTATTCGGTTTTCCAGTGAAGGCTACGGACTCTTCTCCAAAAAACTCTATTTTTTTGCAAAATTAGGGGACATTCTGTGTCAAAACTTTGCTGTTTTCATGATGCTATCTTGGTTTAAAGAGTCAAAAACCACTTCACTAGAGCATAAAAGTCTTTTTTTTGTGCAAAATTATGGACTTTTTCTTCAAAATGTTGCCATTTCCATCAGCTTTTCTCCTGCAATGCTTAAAATGTGCATAAAAATAAGTTATGGAATTTAGACTGACGGCTACAGTGTTGATTTTGGTCCATTTAACATCGATTAAAAACATAATCATGGAAAAATCTACAGTAATTTCAGCCTTATGCTAGTTTTTTTAACTGTTGCATGCTCACAGAGTGCACGTTGGGGAGAAAAAGAACTTAAATAATCAAAATCCAACAAGCTCTTTGCACATTTCTTGAACTTGTATTATCTTGTGGCTAATTGTTTTCCCTGCAGAAACACACATCAGGATGAATTAGGATTAGTTCTCAGGGAAAAAACTGCTGTCTTTGTCTTAATGCATCCATCAGCTGAAGGCAGAGGACACTCAGCAGCTCAGCAAAGGAGACCGGGAGTTAAATCAAACCACGGATCTCGGTGCCGACGGCTCCCAGCCCACTCTGCAACCACAGCTTGATCACCTGCGTCTTTAAGACTACGAGTATCGACGGTCTCGGTAGAAACCGGTCGCTTCCACAAACATCAGATGACTCGCAGCCTGTTGTTGAGTCACCGACTTGAGTCAACATCCACCTTCAGAAGCCCGATGAGTCATGGCCGCCGCGTGGACTGAATCACCGGTGAGCAACCTTATAGTGGTGGTTGTGTTTCCTGGTCCTACCTGTTTGAGGCGATGAGGATGGGCTGGGAGCGGCGGATGGACGGCGAGTCGCCCACCAGAGGAGCCAGAGTCAGAGTGGAGCCTCCGGACGCCTCCTTCCTGTCCGAGGCCTCGAACACTTCGGTCCAGGGACCTGCGACCTCCATCATGTTACCTGGAGGGGAAGCAGGAAGTCGCAGCGTCACAAGTCAGCTCACGACAAGTCGCCGCTACAGTGAAAGGCTGCTAATTGTCCTGTCGTTACCTTATTCTCATTCAAAACTTTCATGATCAGTCTTTAACATAAGGACTGAAGTCACACTTTACTTTACAGGTCCCACATTTCTAGAATTTTCTGGAAACTTTCCTTTTAATCACCCCAAAAATGAGCAATTTAGGTCATTCCACCTCAATTCAGCAAAATTCTAAAAACAGTTCCAGTCGACCGTCTCATATTTGTCTGATTTTTTTCCGTGCAAACACATATTATTAAGTGAAACATGTCAGGTTGTTGGACAGAGGGGTTATTGCACCGTTTTCTTCGCACCAAACTGGGGAGCAATGTTTGAAGAGCCATAACTTGAGAAATAATGTAGCTGGAGTCCTGATATTTGGCAGAACCATTGGTATGTACGTATGGTCTGAAATAGTGTAACTCTGCTTTGATAGAATAATACAAACCAGTTATATGATGGAGCAAATTTGATTTAAAAAAAAAATGGTTTCTTTGATTCCAATTTTCCACCAACTATAAAACCTTTGTTTTACACTCTAGGAGGCTGGAGGTTTTTTTTCCCCTGTGATTGGCACCAATAGGAGCTTTAAAAATGTAGAGTATGTTGCCACTTAATGAAAGAAAAAAAAAAGATAAAAATGGCTTTTTTGTTGATTTATGGCCAATATTCTAACATACATCGAGCATGTATGAAGGTAAAACCACTCCGCGATTGGATAGTAGGGCGTCAACAAGCAAAACATTCCTTGATATAACATCCAGCGTAATCTCAGCCTCTCTGGGTGAAAAATAAATCTTTTACGGTTGGTGTATAATATCAGAATAGACAGAAACATTCACATTTTTTAAACCAAATTGACACCATCACAGAGCTGGTTCGTGTTGTTCTATCGAAGCCAGTTATCGATTACAGGATACGAGTTGTTCGAGGCGAGAAAACAAGTTATTAATCTGACGTCAGCAGCCATCAGAGTTCACTAGAAAGCTTTTTTTTTTTGGTTACTCGCTGATTAAAGAGATTGCAGCAGATCGACAGGTTTTTCCTGCATAGAGGAATTTTTGGCAGCCACGAAAGACAGTTGTAAGAATTTGAATTAAAAATAGCAATTCAATCGTTTAACCAGTTTTGTTAGCTGGGATTTAATTCACTCAAGCATAATGAGTGTTTATACTCATCAAATGGTCAGAAATGTCAGTAAAATACACATATTTCTGTGGGAATACTGTGATGGACGTCGCAGCGTCACAACTCTGCTGCTGAGGTTTGACGTTCGTTCTGTTTCCGGCTGCAGCGAGCTCCAGTGAAATCCACATGCAAACTTTTACCGACGAGTTTGTTTAGACGAAGCTGAAGGAGTGTCCCGGGATACACAAATAATATTCATGGAAATTAACACTGAAGTGAAACGCACGTCAGTTTAAACGCAGAGCAGAGCGTTAAAATAACGTTTCATGTGTTACAGTTTGTCAGGATTACGTCAGATTTAGAAGTTTGGTTGCCTCAGTGTTTAGTGGATGATTAAACTCATCTGTAGAGGAAAATAACAAGAATTACAATCAGCTGGTGATATTTTTAAAACTAGATTAAACTTTATTGAACTCAGACAATGAAACGCAGCTGATTGAGTCAAAATGTAAGAAACATTCGAGGTGCAAATAATAATAATAACTAATAAAAGATGAACTGAAATGTTCTGTAGTAGTTCAAAGTTTGTGTTTGTGTTTTGGGGGCAACACCCAAATAGATTTATGAAATATTCTTCTTTCCTGATGCAGAATTGTAAATTTCGTCCTATTTTTAATCTCATCAATTAATCGATAACATCACCTGTAAAAACGGACATGAGGGCGTGTTGCTGATGTCAGTGTTTATAAATCAACAGACATGTTAGCAGTGAAAACAGCTGTTACATGGCCGTCACTGTGATGGAGGAACGTCGTCCTCGTAAACGACGCTCTGACAGAAAACCATTAAGCATCACACAAGTCTTTGTCATGATGCCTCTTTACCAGCTAAACTCCCAGAGCGCTCGTTGTTAGCCAAAATAAACAGCGAGCACTGCAGCTGGTCGCTACAGCATCAAACAGTAAGAGGCTCCACCCGGTGGAACAACCAGGTACTGCAGCTGGTCTACAACACATTCACTGATATGAATTTCCTTCATCGTCTGCTTTGATGATTAATATTTTTAAAAATTGGTTAAATTATTAACAGAATTAACTGGTCAACCGTGAACATCCCTAGTAGCAACAAACACCTTCATCACTTCTCATAATTAGTAGGAATTTTCTTTAAAAAATCTAATTTGCAGTTAAACACAAACGATTGCTTCTTAAATTATGAGGAAAGTTTCTCAGAAATAAAGCGTTTCCATCTTTAGCCTTTTACAACTTCATCTACTTTTCTCTTTCTTAAAATTTTACAGGATTTTTGCATTTTTTGCCAAGTATTTTGACAAAATCTAATCTCTAAAATCAGAAAAGAAAAAAAATATGCTAATCCCAATTTCCCAAAATGCAAAGTCTTCAGATGTTGTCGTTTATCTGACTCAACTCTAAAAATATTAAATGTATTATTACATAAGACAAATAAACACGGCAGATCATCGCAGAGGAAAAGCAACCAGTGAATAAACGACATCAAACAATTAAAAAAACATCTTCAACGATCTCAGCTCAGTAATGAAACAACCATTTGTTTCTGAGATATCAATGGAAAAACATCGAATAACAAACTTTTAAATTTTCGTTTTATTTACAAAATATTAAATGAATCGTTAATTACAGACTCATGAGATCACAATGGGTTTTCCTCCGTTTTCACGTTTGGCACCAAACTGGAGTTGCTGGTGATATTTTTAGATCTGCAGTCGATTGTCCGAAGCCAGTTTTACGTTCGCCATAAACAAAGAGGTTATGAGGCTGCAGCACATGACGCGCGTCAACCACCACGACGACGACAACAACAACAACAACACAATGAGTCACGCTGTCGTTTCTGGAAATAGACGTTTGGTGGCAGACGGCCAGGACTAAATCGGAACCTGAATTTCCACACAAACGCTGTAGTGTGAACACGACGCACACTTCCTGCAGTTCAAACGGGTCAAAGACACAAAACGACGAGTCGATGAGTCCGTTCAGATCGACGCCTGCTTTCTGCTGCTTTAAATGACCGTGATTAGATTAGTTTAATTTATTCTCATAATTTGGTTTTAGCTCTAAAGGTCAGGTTAAGCTTCTTGGATGTTTTAGCAAAGTGAGCTGCAATTACTAATCAATCAGCTGTTCTCTGTTTAATGATTCTCCAGTAATTAAACAGCTCGAGTGATTTTTAAAGGGAACAAATTCTCTCACCGCAGCTTCTTAAATGTGAATATTTTCTGTTTTCTTTCCTCCTTCATGACAGTAAACGGAATATTTGTGGACAAAACAAGACACTGGGAAAAAAAAACAAACACTGATTTACATTTTCAACTATTTTTTTCTCTTTTAGAAAATATGAGTTTACTACAAAATAGTCCATTTTGTTGGTTTTTTTAAATTTTATTTATTGTTTTTGTTTTATTCTTTTTAACCCTTTATGTACTTTAAAAAAAAAAAAAAGTTATTTATATACTAATTTATTTACTTACTTATTACATCTTTATTGTTTTTTGTTGTTTTTTTTCATTCCACTTGTTCTCTTTGCTTTTTGGGATTTGGTATTTTTTGTTCTTTTATGTTATTTTTTTCTATGTTAAACTTTATTTCTCCACTTTTGCCAGCGACTCTTCCTGAGTTTCCTTCTCTAATTTTTTGTCCCATCTGTGAGGCACTTTTAAAACTTGGTATTTAAAAAGGTGTTACTTAAAAAAAAAGAAGCTAACAATTAAAATTAATTATAATCAAATTCACTTCCCTTAGTTTAGATTTCATCATTTGCAAGTAAGTAAGTTTAAAAATAAACACAAAGGCAAAGATTAAATACAGATCTTCTAAATAAAAGCCCAGATATACTGAATTAAGCAACATTAACAGATAATGACGGTTAATTCAGTTTGATTCATTAACCTCAAAATCTCTTTTTCAGGCAGGAGACATTAATTCCAGATTAGTTTCATAAATTCAGGTCATTTAAAAGTCGATCAACAACAACAATGAGGGAAAAACTGAGTTTCAAACAGGACATTTCTTTTAAAAAAAAAAAGAAAGAAAAAAAGACTGTATTTAACATTTTGCAAAAGTTTCTGTGAAACTGCATCACAAAAGAGCATCTGTCAGTCAAACATGATCCCGTTTCAGGAAGAATCCGTCACATTTTGATTTCACGGCATCCCAGATCGTATAAAAGTGAACTGACGACTAAAACGTTTGCGTTTCTTTCGTGTAAAGCCGTCGTTGCCGTCACACGTCAGGAGGTTCATCAGGGTTCAGCGTTGTGCTTCAGGACATTTCAGTCAAACCACCAACCATCAGGAGGAAACCTGCTCCACCAGCCTTACGTCTAAACCACTGCTTCTATCCAAACTGTATAAGTTACTGTAGGACTCAGGACGGCTGTGAGATGATGATGATGATGTTGTTGGTCTGCACCTGTCGGGTTTGCTTCCATCCATCCATCATCTCTACACCTTAATCCTCACCAGGGTCATGGGGGGCTGGAGTCTATCCCAGCTGACTCAGGGTGAAGGCAGGTTCACCTGGACAGGTAACCAGTCTATCACAGGGCTACACTTAGAGACAGACAACCAAGCACACTCACATTCACACCTACGGACAATTTACAATCACCAATTAACCTCAACATGTTTCTGGACTGTGTGGGAGGAAGCTGGAGAACCCGGAGAGAACCCACACTGCACGGGGAGAACATGGAGACTCCACGCAGGAAGATCCCAGTGCCCCCACCGGTATGCCAACGAGCGACCTTCTTGCTGCGAGGCAACCAACTGA